TCCCCCCTCCTCCCCTGGCGTACCACGTTGCGTATGCGTCACGACTATTCAACAAATTGCGCATGCGACGCGTTGGCCATGCCAAGCATCAGGCATTAACAATATTTGAGTTGGCCACGTCTTCTGCTTCTTCTCCTTCTGAACTGGCATTAAGTGTGCAAATCTTAAATACAACTAGCAGAGAATTATGTACATATGTACATGTATATAAAGAGATATGCATATTTATCGGGCATAAAACTTTTGAAGGGTTTAGTTCGGTTTCCTAAGTACATGTGAGATGTGTCTGAGCAACATTTGAATTTTGAGTATTATGCACGACCGACTGCATAATACTCGCTCACATAGTACTCGTCATTTTTGGTACTTAGGTTCCTACTCAACTAGACCATTTTTCTACAATTTATATTGATATATCTATAATTTTTAATGAAGCTGATCAACAATAGTTGAGTAGATTTTCCCCACGCCTAGTTTCGGCGTGGATTTATTAAATTGTTTATTAATAATTTATTAATTTAACGTCATTGTATTATTTCTGGATGAAGGAATTAAATACAATGGATGCTATGCAAATCATGATATAGTCCCCTTAAATTGGCGAGTATATATTATTGGACATGTAGCTTTCGACGATTTATAACGGTTCTTAGAAACCAGAAAAATTTTGTGATTATATTTAGTTCTTGAAATCTCTTGTTGCTAGATAATTACATCATTATTTTTGACTTCCTTGAAAAAAGCTCAAAGCTATACCTTAGATATATGTATATACATATGTATTGGTATAGCAAAGAGCACAACTAGGTTCACATTTTATATAACTCAATCTATAATAAAAGGAAAAAGTGCAACATGTAATATTGGGATATATGTATTGGTATATACTCTATATATGTATATATATATATATATATATTGCTATATATATAGATTGATATAAATTGCTTAAAATTTAGATTGAGAAAATCATTGCAGTCTTTCACTTCATTCCTATTTTTTTTCTCAACTAATACATTGAAGCCAATCATATTGAGCTAGCAGACCATAACGGTTTAATACCTAATGCTCTGCATAGTCTACAATGCATATATGTGATTGAGATTAAGCTGAGGCGAGCCATTTAGCTCTTAGAAAGATTTGAAATACTTGAACTACGATGTACATGTTTTTTTATACAACATGCTTCACGAGTTTATCCTGTTTCGATATTTCACCGCAGTTCTTAATGTTCGATTCACACTGATACTCTGCCTGAAAGAAGTCTACGTCGAAATCTAGCTTAACGGCCCCTTTTGGCCTTAGAGCTCGCATTGGAGTTGTATAGAACATAATACGGAAATAAACTTACAAATCTATCGAATGATTAGCGGAGTTCTGTAGCTCCATAAAGCTGTGAACTTAGAATTCCCAACGGCTTATAGATTGAAAAGGTTTGAGATGTATTATATTACTTTGTATATTCCACTCTTTTGGATATTTGAATTCAACATGTTGATAGAGTCTCGATAGTCAGATGGCATAATAGAATTTGACATGGAACCAGCTCTAGTTTCTTGTGATGGAATAGGGAAATTCTATAGACGAGCTGCCTATGGCTGAATATTATTGTTAGGGAATAGCCGACAGACACATGTCAAGGTGTCTCGCATTTGATTAGAAAATATCATAGATATTTGAATAGCATATACCAACTTTGAGCTACTTGAATATATTGCAATCCATATTTCATATTTGTCGTAATTGAAAGCAATTGCCTGTCGCAGCTCGGCAGTGAATGCTGTAAGCAATATGCGGGTCTACTACATATATGCATATGGAGGTTAAATGTGACCGACAGCAGCAGCAGCAGCAGCAGCAGCAGCAGCAGATATTGTTGTTGACAATGTTGCAGATGTTGCTGATTTGACCTGCAGGAGCAGCAGTTGAATAAACGACTGCTTTATGGCAACAGCAGCAGCTGCTACACACACACACACATACGTATTTATAGTATTAACTGTTACGAAATCAACAAAAAAATATATATATTTATATATGTATATCTGTGTGTGTGTTTGTGACTATGTCTAGGAGGTGGTCTGAAAAGGCAAAAAGGGAAAAAAAGAGCAACTGCTGAGGACGAGGCGAACAACAACTATGAATAAGGCAGGCGGAACAGCCGTACGATTCGCTAAATCCGAATTGAAATGTTGCCGCCTCGGCTGGCAGCAGCAGCAGCAGCAGCAGCAGCAACAGCAACAACAACAACAATAACATGTTAAACTAACAGCAACAGCAACAACAACAACAGCAACTATAATACATTAGTTACAGTCACAGCTTTGTCAGAGTTCACGAGTTGCCAGCCGATGAGCAGCCGAGCAGTTGAGTTAAAGTTGAGCATGTGTGTGTGTGTACGTGTGTGTGTGTGTGTACGTGTATGTACGTGTATGTGTGCATTGCTGCTACTCATGCTGCAGCGCGGCATTTAGTTAAGTTAGCCATGAAGTGAACTCAACTGAACCGAAACACTCCCGAAATTGAGCCCGAGCACGACAACAACTACAACTATACATATATATGAATGTGTATGTGTAAATGTATGTGTGTGTGTGTGCTTCAAGTGGTTTGTCTGCGCTCTGCTTTTGGCTTAGATTTCTGGCCAATTGTTTGGCATTTTTTGAAGAAGTCACAACGCGCTGGCAGACAGCGCGAGTCTGGCCCCCAGTTCCTGTTAGCCAGCTCGTCGGCCCAGTTAACAACAATACACACACACATACACACACACACACATTTACACGCAGCTAACAGCGCGAATGACTTCGTGCGTGTGCGTGTGCATGAGTTTCGCTAGTGACTTGCTCGCTCGCTCTCTCTCTCTCGCTCTGACTCGCTCGCTCTCGCATTCAGCTCGCTGCTGCTGCGGCTGTTGGCGCTGCGGCATTGTCAACAACGCGCCGCAGAGTTCATACAATTGTGGCACGCGGCCCGTTAAGCACGTGGCTCTGACTGATAACAGCAGCGGCCCAGTCAGAGGCTAGCGAACGACTCTCTCTCTGGCTCGCAGTGTGTATGTGAGCGTGTGTGTGTGTCTCTGTGTGTGTGTGTGTGTGTGTGCATGTGTGTGCATGCGTGTGACATTCATTGCAGTTCCAAGTGCCGCGCGCTAATTCAAACTTCAAATTTCGTTTGTTATACTTTTTTTTCCATTTTTTTTTTTGAACTCTTAAAGAGTGTAAAGCCTTATCAACGCACTGACCAACACTGTGATAAAGAAGCGGCCTATTCAACGAAAGCCTTTCCTCATTTCTTTTTTTTTGCTTTCTTCTCATGTGCAACAGTGCAAAATGCAGTGAAAAGTGTATGAAAACTCATGTGTCTAAACTGTGCTCAACAAAAAATAAGAAATGAGAATTCTTGAAAGAAATTCTACTTAAAACAGAATTAAAATAAATATTATGCAATGAAAATAACAGTTACTAAAACAAAGAATCATGAATGAAAATTATATTAAATAAAAACTTAATAATACAAAAACAATAATTGGAGACATAAGTTTTTAAATAATTCACATTTATCAAACTCTCTTTTAAATAAAAAAGTATAAAATCAAATTAAAAAAAAATATATATAAATAGAAAATCACAAATATTTTGTTTAACTAATTGCAATGATTAAAAAATTTATTAATTAAAACAAATGCAATAAGTATATTTTTTCATATATTAAAAAAAAAACCTCAAATAAAGTGGAAAATTATAATAAAATATATTTACATAAATAAATAAGTAATAATAAAATTAATTGAATTAAAAAAAAAAAAAAAAAACAAAACAAAACGTTGCACGGTAAATATATTTACACAAATAAACAAATAATAAAATAAAAAAAACTTTTTAAGGTAATTAAATACAATATTTAAATAGTAAACAAATCTAAAATCAAGCACAAATATAAAATTTTTTTAAAAATATTCATAATACGAAACTCAACATTTGTAATGCTCAAAATACTGATCAAACTTTAATACTAAATCGACACAAAGAATTTATTTTCAACTTTTAAACATTAATGAAAACATAAACGAGTATTTTGGAAGCACTTATAAAAGTAATTAAAATCAAATAAAAAATTAATAAACGTTCAATAAAAGTAAAAAGTTCAAAGTTTTGCATCAATTGGTTTCAACAAACGCGCAACAATGAGTGCAAGCAACGGCAACAGCAACGACAGCAGCAACAGCAACAGCAACAGCAACAACGGCAACAGCAACTGCAATGCCAACAGCAATGGCAATGGCCATGAGCGAGAGCAGCAGCTACAGCCACAGCCACGAGCACGAGCAACAGCAACAGCAGCAGCAGCAACTGCAACTACTGCCAGCAACACACGTCAATTTGTGGATATTGCAACAGCAACAACAATAACGACATCAACGTCTGTCATGCCGCGACCTGCCACAGCGCCAGAGCGTGGCAGACGCTCTAGCAGCAGCAACAACAACAATAATAACATTTACAACAACAACATCAACTTGCCAGCTAGCAGCAACAGCAATGGCAATCAAAAGCAGCAGCAGGCCAGCAACAACAATCACAACAACAGCGAGAGCAGCAACAGCAGCAGCTTGATGGTCAGTGGCATCAGCAACAACAACACGGCAGCAACCATATCGCACAGCAGCAACACGAACAGCAGCAGCAACAGCAACAACAACCACATCTATGTGAATCCGCATAGCTACGACAGCAACAGCACCACCGGCAGCGGCAACATCAGTGGCTCGACGGCAATCATGTTGCCGCTGCCGCTCACGCTGCAACTGCTGCCCGATCAGAGCAATCAGAGCAGCAGCAGCAACGGCCTCAGCCTGGGCGCCATCAGTCGGCCGGCGACAACGACCACGCTCAGCACCCTGAATACATATCTGTTCCCGTGTGGCGCCGACTCGGCGGGCACCATCGGCGGCGGCACCTTCAACGGCAGCGCCAGCTGCGATCTGGACAGCAACTTCAGCCAAATGGTGGCTGGCGGCAGCGAGGCGGGCAGCTCCACGGCGCACAGTCCCTGCCCCATGGCATTTGCTGCGGGCGGTGCAGCAGCTGGCGGCGGTGCGGCGGGTGGTGCGCTGGGACTGGCTGTCAACTTTGGTGGCTTCATCAACAAGCGGCGCATACGCAAACTCTTCGGCGTCGGCGGCTCGGCGAACGGCGACGGCTTCGGGCCGTACGGCTCCGCGTTGCGGCGCCGCAGCTCGCAGCTGGTGCAGTTCCACAAGAAGAAGCAGCAGATGGAGCAGCTCGAGCAGCAGCAGCGCATTGCCACGGTGGCCTCGGCGAATGCGGCGTTTCTGGAGAAGCGCGAGCAGCAACAGTTGCAGCTGCAGCAGCAGCAACAGCAGCTACAGCTGCAGCAGCTACAGCAGCAGCAACAGCCGGCGATATTGCTGCTGCAGCCGCAGCCCGAGAAGAAGAAGAAGAAGCCGCCGGGACCGCCCCCACAGGTGCGCCAACAGGCATCGCGCACCATGGACGATCCGCTAATGAATCGGCCGCGCAAAAGCACGCCGGCAGCTGGCAAGAAGAAGGACAAGGACAGGGAGAAGGACTTCTACAAGGACTTTGGATATGAGAAGTACCCAAAACAAAGCACAAATTACTCAAAACCAATTAAAATAATCAAGCAACACCTGCTGCAGAAGCAAATGATGAAAATCCACCTGCTAAACCAGCTTCAAATATATATTTATATTTAATGTTTTTGCCTTAAGTTGTCTCTCTTAAGTTGCTCTCTCTTTTTATCTCTCTCTCTATATATATTTCTATCTATCTCTTTCTCTCTATTGGCTTTGTTAGTTGGCAACAATTTGAATAAATGATTATCTAAAGCATATCAAAGTTTGCAGTTTTCTTTAGCTTCAATTATTTTCGTTTGTTCCTTTGTAAACATCCACTGCGGCTTCAGCTTTAGCTCAGCTCAAACACACATAACTAGTAAATATATACATATGCATATATGCTATATACATATATGTATATATAATGACATCTCATCATCACCAAGTAGGCTTTGCACAGCTTTTATATTCGTACAAAGTTGTTTGGCTTTAGAAATAAGTAAATAATACATATGCTTGCTTTGCCATAAAGTTTTACCATCTAAGCTGATTCTGATATCCCTAAATATCCTTATACTTTTGGATATAAGTATATAATATATAAGATGACAGAAATATTGAGAAAATTTCAGTGAGTCTCATGGAACTATAAACGGGAACTGTCTCATATATTGCGTTTATCTACCTAGATATACCAAGTCTTTCCACCTTACCATCACTCTTCCGCCTATTGGAAGAACTATATTTATTGTCTATAATTGTATTCCTCTGAAGTCTCATTTTATATTCTGATCAACTACAACCTGAGTTAATTTTGTGTGTGTGTGTCTATCAGCTCTTGAGTTATGCATCTATTTACCTTTAACAATATTATATTATTATCTATAAAAAAACGAGATTTTAAGAGCTAATGATGTTGAGTCCTGTATGCCTGGAAATGTGTTTGTGTTCCCACTTAAAGAGATCAGAGACATGTTTAAAGTTAGTTAGATTGATAATACTGATAATGTCATGCTTGAATATACTTTTGATATGTTCGAGTAGTTATTGATGATATTACCTCACTGAGCTGAGCTGAAGAATCGAATGTTTTTAGCTCCTCTATAAATGACTGACTCATTGCTCACATTCATTCTATTAAAGATCTTGTTGTTGCTCTATTATATGGAAGTGTAACTAGCAAGCTATTAATAACAGATTCTCTTTTCTAAGTTTTTCACTTCGTGACTCTCTCAGACTGCGCAGAGTAGTGCTGCAGTAGTATTAGTGTAAGGCTGGGAGTCTCTACACATGTTAGAGGCGCTGTCAAAAGATAATCTGAGTAAGGCGATAGGTCTTAAGAGGCAATTCTTAGCAGATTGGCATGCTTTCCAGTGAACGTAGAGTAAGTGCCTGTAAATTTGCAATATGAAAGAGATAGTGATACAATAAGTAGCATATACAGAAATTATACATTTGTCCATATTCGACGGACCCATCTGGCAGCCCTACAAGATTGTCCATATTTGATTAGAGAAAAACTCAATTTGTTGATGTTGATGGTAGTCAAAATTTTCTTTTGGTTCAAGTAAATTTGTTAACATTACTTTTTGAGTAAGATATCCCTCAAAAAGCCCCCTTAATCCCATACGGCGTATTGTGTCCGTCTCTGTCAAAAAAATATAGGGTTGCCAGATGGACGCGTCGACTGTGGACAGCCCTGTACATTATATATTCCATTACCTATGTAGCCAAGGAGTCTTTCAAGCCAAGTCTTTCCCCGTTTTGCTATTCTTGTGCCTTCATATAGTTATATCTCATTGATTGGATAGGGTTTATAGAAATTAGGGTACTTGACCCTTTGCAAATATTACATATAATTACAACTTCTTCCTCTACGTTTTGCTATAAAAACTGAAAGATTTTGATGATTCGGCTTACGCGTGTAGGTGCTGTATTTTATCGTTTATGTGATGTCATAGATATGATCTGCTTGAATCGCTGGTTAACTATAAACTAATGAAGGTGATGGCATCTGTGATTTATAGCCAAAATCATTTATAGAACAAAGGAAATCAAAAACGATACTTCTGCTTATTAAAAGCAAACATCATTCTCTGCTAGAGACTACAGCTAAACAGAATAGAATTGGCTTGGAAGGCTGTGATTGCTCAGCTCTCTGACTGCACTGATTGCTTTTGCAGCTGCACAGCAGGGCGTATGCGTAATGCCAGCCAACTGCAGGCGCAACGGGTTCAACAACGCCAAAGGCGAGTCGAGTCGAGTCGAGTCGAGTCATTGCCCTGTCGCATGGAGACAACGACTTCACAATGGCTGACAACTTCCGCCTAGCCAGTCGAGCGCTCTTCTTCTGCCACTGCCATTGCCTCTGGCTCTTCTTCTTCTCTTTGTTATTTTTTTAAAAACAGATTTTTGCCAGACGGCGCCGTCGCTGTCGCCATTGTCGCAGCCAAAAGTCGCAGAAAGTCACCAAAAACTCACAAATATCTGATTCCTCCTTTGCCAGAGTCGAGTTAGCAGCGCAAATACAGCGAATGTGCGTAGTCATCTGTGCGACTAACTGGAGCCGGCATAATTCAGCACTCACACACACACACACATACACACGTATCTGCATATAAATATATACACACAACTCGCACAGTTATAACAATTGCTTAATGGCAAATGCTTCATTACGTATACGCCGTGTTGCATAAGACGAATTATTGTAATTAATATGCATAAACACACGTGTGTGTGTGTGCGTGTTGTGTGTGTGCGTGTGTAGGTGCACGCATATATGAGCACGTGCTCAAGTGCTTTAACACATGAGTTCAAGGTCAACGCCAAGGGCTCTTCCTATTGCAAAATTCAATGTCGCGAAAGTGTTTCAGTTCACGAATTTCGCCTGATTAGGAAATTAATTCAGCTTTTGTTTAGATAAATTTGAATGTGGAAATGTGAATGTCTTAAGAACTGCTTGAACTTTTAGATAAAGCACTTCAATTAGAGATAATAATGATGAAGGCAAGCAAAAGTGCTCTAGTTGGGTTTACCCGATTAGCAGATACCCTGAATTCTGTGCAGAGCTGTTGTTCTACTTTACTCACACACTCACAAATCGTCTGCTCTTTATCTAATAGTTTTCTTTAAGATTCACTCTTAGTATCATAATGGAATTCCAAACACAGAAACAAATCAGAATAAGCTATTTCTACATTTTTTCTTAAATAGCTGCTGTGAGGGGCAATCCAAAATATACGCAAACACATATCGAGGCTGTGTTTTGCCACACGAAGCTTTATGGTCTATTTGCTTGCTTGGTTTCATGGCTTTCGACCAATTCATAAAAGCGATAAAAAGTAAATGGATTGAGTTATCGTAAAACTCGTGCTGCGCATTGTCTGACATTGTGTTTAACCTTTGTGTGTGACGAGAGAGATGTGAGACATACGGGTAGACAGACAGGCAGACATGCTGCGATTGACTCAGCTCATTCATTTGATTGAGAATATTTATATACACACATTTCCTTATTCACGCTCTATAGTTTTTATTCGCTTTAATAATGTTCTGCACTTACGTTTTCAATGAATCAGTTTGTTATCTGTTATATGGAAATAGTTTTATCAATACAGTCGAGTCCCGATCATTCGAAATGGAGGGTTGATTTGTTCTTTTCGATTTACACAGACAAAAAACTATCTAGAATTATCGATAACGATTTTTTTCTAAGGTGATCCAATTTTTTCGATATATCGTGATTTTTGATTTAGCGGGATAAAAACTATCATTCCTTGACTGTAGTTAGCCACATCTGTAGATTACAAATTTCTCCTTAAGCTAAAATGAGCTTGAAGGACAGAAATTTGCAAACTCTGAATATTTTTCAATCATCTATCTATTGACATATAAAAAACCATTTTAGATTTAATCTAAATCAAGGCCTAAAAAGAGGTCCACTCGTTTGGCCTCATTCTCGACGACTGTTTGGGCTTTTTTACATCCTGACAGCAATAAGAGCTAATTTGGTTTCCTTCAATAGACGCCAGGCAATGGAGCCTTGTATATTCCTGAACAGTTTCCATATGCAAATCGATATTTATATTTGACGACATCTGTGATTTCTGTTTGTCTGTTGCCAAGCAATTTAAAAGCCATTGCCAAGCTAATTTAATTTTTTAGTTGTTGATATAGTATATATAAGTAAATTTATTTGAATAAATCAGTCTAATCTAGTTAATTTTGCCTAACAAATATAGCTTGAAATTTGTGTACATGCATATATGAAATATTCCCCTACTAAAATGGCAATATATATTTCAATATCTGAGATTTGATATGTCGTATATCTTGATTACAAAGCCCGATGATTTCTACTTGAACTTCATATAAACTAGGAACCTTCTTAAGCATAAGCTGTCATTTTCCTCTAAAAATAGCCTTTTCCTTTTGCCATCGTCTCCCATGGCTTGTAATTGGAATTTAGGACACACGCGACTTTCTCACGTTCCTCTACTCAATTGTGTTCTATTTTGAGGACGGTCGTGAGCAACCCAATACTCTTCTGCAGTCCTTGAAGATGAAGACGTCATCACAGCAGATAAAGCGACCGACTTGAGATGGCTCTTAATATCATGTTCTGCCATGAACAGCATTCAAGAACTCTACTTTATATGACATACGCAATATACATGTATGTAATTATTGTTATGTATATGTATAATTGTGTGTTTATTATCATGATTTGTGTATTGGATATTGAGAATATAATTCATCTTAAACAGCTGTACACCTGTGTGTACGTCTCTAGTCCATCACTGCTCTTATCAAATTTTCTTCTTCTTGAACTGATGTTGCCACCCTGTTGAAATTGTGTAACCAGGATGCCATACCGCTCGACAAAGCTGGTCAACCTTACTTATATTCCATGGATATCTGAAACATTCTTATGTATGGGCTATCGATTAAAAATCCTATTGAACATTTATAAGGTTATACTTCGTTCCTCTTTAGAGTTAAAGTCTCACAAGTTTAAATATATATTCATGTGTATTTTATAGTCTTGAAAATTGTTAATAAGAACTCTTCCATTTTTTCTAGTGGCTATGAAATATATGAATGTCATTATACATTATCATTGATTGTAAAGCTTC